ATGACTTTAGTTCTGCAGTATATTTGCACTCTACATGTTACTATAGTCTGTTTAGTATGGTTGCCTCCAATGTTCCTACGTTCTCTGTAAAACACCAATTGTTACACTGGTTTCATTCCACATAAACATTATACAGTGTGTGCAGGTTGTGAGAGATTTAATATGCTTGACTGTCTCCTTAACTATGTTAAGCATCTAGAATAAAAGCCAAAATATAATTACTGCTGCCTTTCTAAAGCCCTAAATATAGTTCTATATTAAATTGAAATGTACACTAGCCCAGAATGGTTTACTGATACTTACTGAGCTGTATAACATATAGCTGCTTCTAGTTGAGATTTTTTTAGTCATTGTGTAGTAGAAAACTAAAAGTTGCATCACTTTCTGAAAAACAAATCACTATATGTTAAAAATCACTACGTTAAATGTGAAAATCCTTACATTATGCAGGATAAACCTTGGACTCCTTTCATGTGCAGATTAAGTGGGATAACATTTAATTTCAGCCCTTGAATCTTAACCTATAGCCTAGCTACTTGGGGACAGCCTTAGAATGTTTTCCTGTTACAATGTTATTGATTACTCCCTGCAAAAAATGCCGATAACATTTGTCCTGATTTTTGTTTTATGCTATCTAAACATGTAAAAATAAAAGATTTTTAATCTAAATAAATAAATAAATAAATAAATAAAATATATAAAGAACTAAGGGCTGGCCAAATAGCTCAGGGAATTAAAGCACCTGCGAGCAGGAGAAGGGGCCAGGGATTCAATCCCTGGGCCTGCAATACTGGCCCTGCCCCCAGGGGAAGCTGAGACAGTGATTGAGACTGGGTGTGGTGGCGCATGCCTGTAATCCCAGCTCTTGGGATGCTGTAAACAGGAGAACCACTACAAGTCCAATCTAGCAGTGAAACCCTGAACACCTTGTAGACCCTTCCCTAAAATACAGAGAAAAGCACAGTAAAAATATCCATACCTGAAATTTAAAGACCCAATCAATATATGAAAAAATATTCAATATCATTGATCATTTGAGAGATGCAAATTAAAACAGTGCTGACATTACATCTCACTCCAGAAAGAATGGCTGTCATCAAGAAACCAACCAATAACAATACCAGCAGAGCTGTGGGGGAAAAAGGAACCCTTTTTCACAGTTGCATTTTCCAGCTGGTTTAGTGTTTCTGGGTTTTTTGTTTTTTGTTTTTGTTTTTGTTTTTGTTTTGTTTTGTTTTGTTTTGTGGGCTTTTTTTTTTGGTGGAATCAGGGATTGAACTCAGGCCCTTGTGCTTGCCAGGGAAGTGCTTATTCCACTGAGCCATTCCCCAGTCCAGTGATTCTGTTTTAATATTTAGATCTTTGATCTATTTTCATTTTAGTTTATTGCATGGTAAAATATATGGGTTTCACTTTTTAATTTTTGGCATTTGGAAAGCCAGTTTTTCCAGCACTATTTATTAATCAGGTGCATACTGGTGCAACCAATATGGACAGTGTGGAGATTCCTCAAAACGCTAATCGACCTATGTCCAGTTGTCAAGCTGATAAGGTGTAGATTTTGATAGTTAACTGATTGAGTCAACTTAAATAAGCAACATCTGATCTAAATGGGCTCAGTATAATTCTGGGTATGGAAAAATTATGTTGAGCCCCAGGCAAGACCCATTTTGCCCACGGGGCACAAAGTTACCCAGTGACCCCAGGTGCTTCCCATCTTCAATTAAATGTGTGCCATAGTCCATCATCAATAGCAATGGGACGGCTGCGATCGACCTAGCAGGTCATGAAAGCACGGGTAAGGGACTCAGACCCCCATAGCTCCTCCTTCACATCATGGCTCTGTACCCATGGTCCACCCATGTGACGTCCCAGGGAGATCCTTCTGACCACCAACTGCAGAAGACACACTTCACACCCATTCTACGTGTGGTTCTGTGGACACCACCTAAATGTGCATAGATGTCACCCTACACACTTAGGGGTGGCTCTGAAGATCTGGGGACAGAATTTAGATGTACACCCTACTGCTCATTGGATGTATGAGATGGTCAGCAATGTGGATCTACTTGGACTCAGAGGCAGAGCTCATAGATGATGGACAAAGTGGCAGCCACAGACCCCAGGACCTGGCAGAGACAGCTCTGCTCAGAACCAGCCTGGCACCTCCAGGGACCCTTACATAAGAAGGGCCAGGCCTACAGTCAAGGGAGAAGTTACAGGGAGGGATGCAGACAGCAGAGTCCATCTGGCAGGGCACAATTAAGCTCTTTTCTACTGAGAGGGACAGAAGAGGAACACTGATGGCAGGTGGTCGGTGGCCATTCAGAGCAGGCGGACACAGTGTGAATGTTGGAAGGGCAGGGATCATGCATCAGTAGCCACCTGAGCAAGTTACTTCGCAGCCAAGCCAGAACCCTGGTAAACAAGCAAGCGAGTGAGCCAGTGAGCGAGTGATGCTACTCCTACCTGCCAGCCGGGGCTCTCTCTGCTGTCCCTGCAGCAGCCTGGCTCTACACGCACACCTCATGGCCTCAGCTTCACAGCAGCTGTGCAGTCCCACACAGTGTCTGGTGTAGGCTGTGTATTTGTGTGCCTCCTGAAATTCATATGTTGAAATCCTCACCCCCAAGATGATGGTGTTAGAAGGGGGTGCTTTGAGAGGTGATTAGATTGCAAGGGTGCTGCCCTCATGAGTGGGGCTAGTGCCCTTATAAAAGGGACTCCAGAGAGCTCTTGACTCCTCCCTGTGTTCTTGAGAAAACACAGCAAGAAGATGCCATCGGCAGACCATGCGTGGGGTGTTCTCCCACCACCAAATCTACCAGTTCCTTGCGCTGGACCCTCAGCCTTCAGCATGGTGAGGTGTAAGTTCCTGTGGTTTATGAGCTCTGGCCCCACCAGTGGTTTTCAGTGAACAGCCACCCAGGCAGACCCAGTCAGTGGCAAGAGGACTCTACCAGCTTAGGCAAAGGACGACTCTGTTCCCACTTATAAGCACCTCTCTCTTGTTTTGAAACGAATTTCCATACCAAATAAGGCGGTGGACTCCAGAGCCACTGCCCACTTCACACAATTCCTTTTAAGTGTCCAAATCCAATTAAACTTGGAACTCGCCTGGATTCGGCCTCCCTGGGCCTCCGGTGTAAACAAGCAGTCCAGCTGGGCCCCAGCTGCCTGCCCCCGGGGGAGGTGGCCCGTTGATCACCACCCTCCTTGCTGCCAGGCCAGCCTCTCTCAGCGCTCAGCAGGGCGTGACCCTCAGCTTCCAGCATCCCAGAGCCCCCTCCCCTCAGAAGCCACCAGCAGGGAGGTGTAGGCAACACTCCCTGTGTGTGGATGGTTGGCAGGGCAGGGACAGCAGGTTCCTCCACAGGCAGAAGCAGGAGGCTGCAGGCAGGTGCAGGGAAGGGCTATTTCTACGCTCTCTGTGAGATGCTCCCAGAGGTATCCCCCGCCCGCCACCCCCCCCCCACGGCAATCTGAGCATCATTTACTCCCACAGGGAGAGTGTAGAATTCCCTCCAACTCCTGGGTCATGAGAAAGTTGGCCCAGGGCGGGAGGGCCATTTCTTGGGTAGCTCCTCATGCTCGCTAGAGGCCACAGCCCTGGGTCCCGCACCTTCTCCCTCCTACCTCCACCCCCCACCCCCGTGTGCATCTCGGGGCCAGGCTTCATGCCCCGGCCACTAACTTGTTCCAGGACCCCTGGATGGGGAGACTGACTCATCCTCCCCGAGCAGCGCACGCTCCAGGCACCAGGCGCTGCCGCCGCCAGCTTGCCTGCTTGGGCCAGGCAAATGCTGTGATTTTCCACTTGCACCATCTGATTGCTATTAGGACTGAAGAAAGGGGATTCCTGGTTCCATAAGCACATGGGGGCCCCAGGCAGGTTCCAGGGTGGGAAAGGAGGGTAGGGTGTTGGGTGCTGCCACTGTCCCTCTGCCAATTCTGCACACACACACCCACAGAGCCCTCCACTGCTGCTTCTTGGTTTCCCAGTGCCAGGTCCTGGGCCAGTGGAAACAGCAGGGTGAAGATAGCCCCTCCAGCCTGGCCACAAACTGCTCCCTGCGGAGAAGAACAAGGGCAGCAGGAAAGTGGACAGCCCGTGGCTCCCTCTATGGGGCGCTTCTCTTAGCTGGAGCCCCAGGATGCCCGGGAGATTAACAGCTGGACTGGGGCACTGTGTTTGGGCCAATGCAGTGTCGCCAGTCCAAGAGATGAGTTCCCAGTGGGGTCGCTGGGGGGTGGGGAAGGTTGTTAGGGGGGCTCCTGGGTGGGGCATTCCTTCCTGTAGCTTCATCAGGCTCAGCCTCTTCTCCTCCTCCCTTGCCCTCCCCCTCCTGCCGGGTTTGGAATTGGGTTTGGGGCGGGTTCTGCTTCCAAAGCCATCTCCTCCTGCAGGCGAGGGCTCGTCCTCCACCCCGAGCTCCCTCTCATTTTTCCGAGGCTCTGGGCAGTACTTGGACTGGCCTGCTGCCCTGGTGGGTCGGCTACCAGGAGTCCCGAGGAGGAGCCCTCCACAGGGAAGGCCTCCTCGGACCAGGACAGCTGCAGGTAGCTCCCTGGGGCCCAGGGACCACGGGAGGGCTGTCCCGGGACGGGAGTGCAGGGTGAAGGCCAGCAGGGTGGGAAAATGAGGTGGATATTGTTAGCTCAGGGAAAGGGCACTATCAGGACAGGCAGCTAACAGAAATCCCACCTCTCCAAAAGCAAGAACCCCACCCCTCTAGAGCAGTGCTGTCACCCACCAGAAGACTTCTGCCACTCCCAAGCCCCCAGGACTCCCAAAGACACTGGCGGACTTTGAGAGTCCCTCTCACGGGTGGCGGGCCCTGACCCCCCACTTGGCCTCTCCCCAGCCCCTAGCTGTCCTCCAGGGCCAGTCCCTGCTCTGTCCTCCTGTGGGTGGAGGCTCCCCTGTCCCTCCCCCAACTGCACATTCAAGTGTGCTTTTGGAAAGTCTGGAAGGGAACACCCAGTGGGCAGCGTCCCAAGCCCGGGGAGAGGCTCCGTTACTCTCACTCTCACGCACTCCCACTTCCATGAGGGCTGAGTCCCGCTCAGCTCGGAACAGCAGCAGAGACGGCCCCAGATGGACACTCAGGGTTCCACCTGGATAGCCACAGGACGCCGGGCAGCTGGGGGTCCCACGTCTTCCTTGTCCGACTACTCTGATGTGGAGTCAGCAGCTGATGAGACTATTTGCTGGCCAGGTCTTGGTCCTCTTCCCTCTGTGTTATGAACAGGAGCCCTGGGACGTAGAAGGAGAAAACAGGTTCGCTATGAGTCCAGGGGAGCTGCAGACAGGCATCTCCCACGGCCAGTGGCCTCAGGCCCAGCCAGCCCAGATGGCCACTGGGTGGGAGTTAGGAGAGGGGCTGGGTCATGGAGGATGGGGATGAACGAGAGGAGGATGAAGACAGGTGGCCAGGCCATCTTTGGTTTGCGGGTGAGGACAGAAGAGGCAGCCTTGCTGGTCAGCTTTAGAGGGAGCCAGCACTGTCACAGCCCTGATCCCCTTGGAGGAGCGCATGCATCCCGTACACGTCACACACATGTCTTTAATACGGCCCATCTGGGGTCCACTTGGCTTCTAGATCTCTCTGTGCAGGAGTGAAATCTTTTCAGACTGTCTCCGGCAGGACAAGGACCAGGATACAGAGACACAGATCAAACTGACCGAAAAGGTGAGCAGGGATCTCTGATGTATGTCCACTTCAGGGAGGGCTGGGCAGCCCCTCACCCTAGGGGCACCTATAGTTAGGGTGTAGCCCTGCTGGTGTGAGGGGCTTTCCTGAGTCCAGCAGTCCTGGAGGCAAAGCTTGGGGCCCAGACCTTAGGCTGGTGGCTTTCTGGAAGGGACACCAAGAAAAGTGAGAGCAAGGAAGGGTGCTGAGAGACACAACCCTGGGGCCAGGTGGATCTGCGGGTGTAGGGTCGGGGAAGGCTTGAGCCAGCCCCAGGGAACTAGAAGCTTGTGTACCTGGTCAGGGGACAGTAGTCCAACCAGTCAAGATGGCTGAGAGAGAGTGGGGGGAATAAAAACCCACACTCCATGACACCAGCCACCTGAAAGCTCGCGGCACACGCATCCAGACTCACGCACACGTGCAGGCACGCACACACACAGAACCACACGCAGGCCCCACCCTGAGGGGGCACAGAGGGATACAGACACCCAAAGGGAACAGGGGCGCATAGCACCCAAAAGTGCTCCAGGCAGCTAGGAGGCAGGAAGGCAGAGAGGCTCCAGGTGGGAGGGGACCCATAGAGGACGTTGAGCCCTCCTGGAACCTAACCCTGCCTAGGACCCTCCAGGGGCCCTTGAGCTCCCAGCTCTAGGAAGCCAGGGGTTAAAGAAGAGGCGGGTTACTCTCGCGGATCGACATCCATGCAGCCAATAACAGGCTCCGCTGCCACGGCCCCGCCCCCAGACAGGAGGAGGCAGTGGGCTCCGCTGGAGCAGGAATTTCTAGGGAGTGGAGCTCTGAGCTCCCTTGGGCAGACCGGTGACCTGAGGGCTGCAGGGTCACCCTCTCCCCAGCTTGTCATCCCCTCCCCCAGGCCTCCCTATCCGCAGGCCAGTTTCCCTTCTTTCAGCCTGGAGCCAGGGCCACTGTGGTCCTCCAAGCTTGTTCCCTACAATCATTTTGTTGTTGTTGTTTTGTTTTTCCTGTACCGGTCCCTACAACCATTTTTTTGTTGTTATTTTGTGGTTTTGCTTTTCCTGTACCGGGAATCAAACCCCAGGCCTTGCACTTGCCAGGCAGGTGCTGCACCGCTGAGATACATCCCCGGCCCCCTGAAACCCTCTTGATAACACACAGATCTGCACAGCTTCTGGGTGTGTGGGGATTGTGAGCATGTCCCTGGGCAAGTGGCCTCTCAGCCTGAGCCTCCTGCGCCTGTCAAAGGGGAAAGAGGGCATTTGCCCCATAGCCAGTGTGAGGGCCGCCTTTCAGGATGGATGGAAGTGGCAGGCAGGTGCTCATCCGGCACTGGCTGGTGCTAGGCTTGTGCTAATGACGATGCTCCAGACGCCTGCGTGGACCTACCTTCCACACACCACCTCTAGGAAGGGTAAGAGACTAGATGCTCTAGCATGTCACAAACCAGAGGTCCAGCCAAAGGCCCCCTCCTCCAAGAAGTCCCCTCTGCCAAAAATGATCGGCCCTCCTCCACTACCTAACCCACTGCTGGGACAGATTGTTGGAACCCTGGCTTTGCACTGGGTCAGGACACAAAGACTGAGCTCAAGACATATGGAGGTAGAGCAGGGGTAAATACATGCACGTGCACAGAAACGGTCTAGCTTCATAAACCTTGCACGTCCAGCGAGGAGAAGCACAGAAAGGGCATTCCCAGTGATTGGCCATGGGGCTGCAAAGGGCCAGCAAAGGTCAAAATGAGGGGTGCACAGCCAGGAGAGGGCTGTTGCCCCAGGGTGAGCTGCTGCAGATCCCAACAGGATAGTTCCATTAAGCCCTGGGCTTGGAGGGGTAAGGAGGTTGCCTTTCCTCTGAGGTGAGAGGCCTGGGGTCAGGGCTCTGGCAGGGATGGCGCCCCTGCTCCCTCATTCCACCCTCTCTTCATCTTTGCCAGGCGGGAGTGCAGGCCGGTGAGCCACAAGCAGAGATCTGGACTCACCAGGCCGGAAGATGGCTGGAAACTGCTCGTGGGAAGCCCATCCCACCAACGGGAACAAGGCAAGTGCCACAATCAGAGGTGTCTCTGGGCTGCCTGAAGATATAGTTAGTGGGAGGAACACACCCAGCCAAATATGCTCCCCCACCACCCGCCTTCCTGCCCTACCTCCAGCTCTGCACCATGTGTTCTCCTCCTGGTTAGCTGGTCTCTCAGATCCACTGTCCTTGTTAATGAAGCAAGTTTGGTTGATGGCCATCCTGGAAGTCTCTTACCGTGCTGTCCCTCATCATCTTTTCCCAGCCATGAATGGTCTCATCTCATCCCTCCCTGTAGAAGTGGGCAGTTGGCTATTCACTATGGCCAGGCCCTACTGGGAAGCTCTGGATGCTGCCTCAGGGTGGCCCTGATCATGTGAGCTCTCACAGCCATACCCTCCATGGGCTGCCCACCTCCCTCTGCAGGCACTGTCCCTGCCTGAGAAACAGGAAAGCCCTCCAGGGTGACTGTGCCTCCTGCCCTCACTCTTTCTACTCGCTACTCCTCTGAGCCCACAGAAGGGTCAAGAACTCCCTTCCCTTCTGAGCTCCATCAGGGTGCTCAAGTCCTTGAGATTTACCTATTCTAATTTCTTCAACCTGAAGGCTTACATCACTGCAGTAACTGGTCTCCTGCCCAGCCCCCAGGATTCCCCACCCCAACCCCTTGACTCTTTACTTCCTCCCCAGGGTACCCACTGTGGAATGAGGGGAGCCCAGCCTGGGAGGCAGAGCTTACATGCACTGGGGGCATCTCCAGAAGCCCCCACAGCAGAGATGGAGTGCGATCAGTGAAGGGGCAGGTTCCAGAGTGGGAGTTTTACAAGGCGGGTGTGTCTGGGAATGGCAGCCCCCACCCAGTGACTCACCCAGCCTCCCCCTCCTCCACAGGATGAAATTGTAAGCTTTTTCCAGCCTGAGAGAGCCCTGGAGTGCTCTGCCATCTTGCTCCCTCCCTGGGATCTGTCCCCACCTAGTGGAGTCCTGAGTCCTGGAATAGGCAAACCCCAAGCCCCTGGAAAGAAAGCAGAGAGAAGTTAAGCAGCTGGCTTTGGGGGATCAACAGAGGCAGACAGAGATGTTTAGCTGTTGGATGTGTTTGGAGGATGACAGGTGGTGAGCAGGACCCCATAAAAAGCTCACCCCAAACAGTAGAGTATCTCCAGTGTGTAGCTGACATCTCCAGTTCCTGTGTATGGATCCCCTTGACCTAAGCCAGGTCAAAAGATCCCTGACAATGTGTGATTTCTCAGGACGAGCTTTCTGCAAGAGCCATCTGAAGATAGCAGAGAGGATCTTGCCTGTAGAACCTTTCTGTGCGCATGTGCATATGCCGGGGTTTTCCTTTCTGTTTGTTTCATTGAAGAGCCCTGAGCAATTGAAGTGGATCATCCTTAGGGAGCAAGGGCTGGATGGATTAGTGTTGTCTGCAGGGGTATGGGAAGGGCAGCCTTTGCCATGAGGAATAAGAGGGCCAGAACAACCCTGAGAGTGAAACTCAGATGGGTTGTGTTTGCCTGCAGTGTCTTAAACGTTAACATTGAAAGATCAGGACACTGCACATCCCAGTATAGAGTTCTGATCACTGTGGGGAGCAGGGAGTACTTCCTGGAAGCCACCCACCCGAGCAGAGCAGGCTGCTTGCCTGGTTCAGGATGGGGGCCCTTGGGTTTGTTACTGTGCTCACCACTTGCCAGTTTCTGGCCCTTGGCCAACCTTCATGCTTTTTTAAGCCTGCCCAAACCCTGTAGGCAGGGATGGCATTCAGCCACTTTCGCTTTCATAGCTTCCTATGGCTGGATGAAGAGCAGATGCCGCAAGCCTTTCCTCCTCCCTGGCACCCCCTGGGCTTTCCCACAATCCAGAATCCTGACACTGCCTCCCATCCCAGTTCTCTCTGACCCTACTATGGGATAGAGTCCCGCTGCAGCTAGACCAGTCATTTACTTTTTTTCTGGTCTTGGAGATTGAACCCAGTAAGCACTGAACTACATCTCCAACCCTTTATGAGACAGCATCTTGCTAAATTGTCCAGGCTAAACTCATACTGGCAGTCCTGTCTCAGCCTCCTGAGTAGCTGGCATTACAGGCATGAGTCACCATGCCTGTTGGGTATTTCTTTAGAAGTAAATGTTTTGTGTTTTTGTTTTGAAATACTGAAAGATCAACCTGCAAGTAACTTGCAAGAATAGGAGGTCAAAATCCCTCCACCACTCTTCACTTGTCATCTACCTTTCCTTACCCTTACTTCTACGTATCATTTGATAACACACAATGTTTTCTAGAATCACTTAGAAGTAAATCACAGGCACTAAGCTCCTTTACCTCCAGAAGGCCTGAATCTTCTGAGAACAAGGATGTTCCCATGCATAGCCTGCGTCCATTTCCGCATTCTGACAATGTGATGTGGAAGCAATTCCATTGTCCACACGTAGCCCCTGCTCTCCTTCTCTTGTGGGCCTGCCACCCCGTGGTAGCAGTTGCTAAGGTCCAGTATATAGTGTTGGGTTCACTAGTCCTGTCTCTCTGGTCTCCCTCAACCCACAAGGCTCCTCATTTTCTCCTAACTTTGCATGACGTGGGCGTCTTTAGACAGAGTCTGTGCTGCCTGCTGAGCAGTGGGAGCCCCTGTGGGTGACTGGTTGCTCTGTGTCACTGCTGTAGGTGTGGCACTCTGTGCTGCTAGCTCAAGCCTCTGGGAAAGAGTGTGTTAGGTGACAGAGGGGGTGTTTTCTGCTTGACCATAGTCAGTGACCCTCAAGTACCTAATGGAGCCCACCAGGCCCAGCTATAGGTGCAGGCCTGATGGAGGGAAGGGGGACAGCTGCATCACCACGTGCTTCCTATCTGTACCTGCACAGATGTGTCCAGGTGGGGATGAAGCCTCAGAACTCTACAGTCGAGGCTTCCTGACCATTGAGCAGATCGTCCAGCCGCCGCCCCCGGCCATCATGGACTATATCTTCCTGCTGCTTTGCCTGTGTGGTCTGGTGGGCAACGGGCTGGTCCTCTGGTTCTTCGGCTTCTCCATCAAGAGGACACCTTTTTCCATCTACTTCCTGCATCTGGCCAGCGCCGATGGCACCTACCTGTTCAGCAAGGCCCTGTTCTCCCTGCTGAACACGGGTGGCTTCCTGAGCCCCTTTGCCGACTACCTCCGCAGTGTATGCCGGATCCTGGGACTCTGCACTTTTGTCACCAGCGTAAGCCTCCTGCCTGCCATCAGCACAGAGCGCTGTGTGTCAGTCATCTTTCCTTGCTGGTACTGGCGCCAGCGGCCCAAGCACCTGTCGGCTGTAGTGTGCACCCTGCTCTGGCTGCTGGCCCTCCTGGTTACTGGCATTCACAACTACTTCTGCGTGTTTCTGGGCCGCGAGGCCTCCGGGGCGACCTGCAGGCACATGGACATCTCCCTGGGCATCCTGCTCTTCCTCCTCTTCTGCCCGCTCATGGTGCTGCCCTGCCTGGCCCTCATCCTGCACGTGGAGTGCCGTGCACGGCAGCGCCAGCGATCTGCCAAACTCAACCATGTCATCCTAGCCATTGTCTCTGTCTTCCTCGTGTCCTCCATCTACTTGGGCATTGACTGGTTTCTCTTCTGGGTCTTCCTGATCCCAGCCCCCTTCCCTGAGTATGTCACTGACCTCTGCATCTGCATCAACAGCTGTGCCAAGCCCATTGTCTACTTCCTGGCTGGGAGGGACAAGTCACAGCGGCTGTGGGAACCGCTCAGGGTAGTCTTCCAGCGGGCCCTTCGGGATGGCGCCGAGCTGGGGGAGGCCGCAAGCAGCACGCCCAACACAGTCACCATGGAGATGCAGTGCCCCTCTGGGAATGCCTCTTGAGTGGCAGGACGGGGCAGGCCACTCTGCCGAGGATAGAAACAGGACAGTCGCCTCCATGTCCAGGTGGAGGGAAAGGGTGTGTCTCCAGCCCCTTGTGTCTCTTCTCCCTGGGCTGCAGGCTCCTGCAGTGACTGAGAGGTTGAACAGCCACCTGGAAAGAGAAGCAGTGGCCCTGTGCCCACCAGCCACTCTGCTTCAGTGACCCATAGTACCAGAGTTGCCCCACGGCATGAGGTCCCTTGTTCCCCAGGCTGGTCAATAAGGGGGAAGACATGGTCGCCCAGCTCTATCCACCTCCTGTCTCTTTGGTCAACCCTCCTTAAAGGTGACCCAGCCAGTGCCAGCCCCAGGGGACAAGGGTGTCCATTCCTACAAGACAGCATCAGAGTAAACCCAGATGGCGTGGGGCTTTCAGGCAAAGGGTCCTGTTAACCTGCATTGTAACCAAGTCTTTCCAGAAACAGCCCCCAGTACTCCTGCTGAGTCATTCAGTGACCTAATGGGGGAATGACTGGCCCCGCTGGGCTGCTGGAGACAGGACTCTTCGGATAGCTTGGACTGCTGACTACCTTCCTGCCTCTGTGCTCAGCCATTCGTGGGCACTCTGGGTGCGCCCCTACCCCACCCTGGGCCACTGTGGAACATCTGGGCAGCTCCTGGACAGAGTTCTTGGGCTCCAGCAGCTACCTGAAAGTGGGCTCTGGCTCTGCCTTGCGCACCTGAGGACTGGCACCGTGGCACCCATCAACAAGCACAGTGACCCTGTGTTGCCAAAGGAAGTTTTATAAAAGAGCAATAAAATGTATATCAATAAACATTTTCTATCTGGTGGTAAGGGCAGCTTACTGCACACACCCTCTCTGTGCCGTCCTACAGGGAGGACGGCTGAGGATAGCAGGAACCCAGGGTGAGCAGCTCCTCCCCACCAGCTCCCCCAAGCCATCCGCTTCTTCCCTCAGCTCTGAGGCTGCCTCCTCTGGCCAGCTATGTTTATACCTCCAGCATTCTTCCCGTCCACTCCAACTGGCTCTGCCTACACCTAATCCTGCCCACCCCTTTCCTAGTAGCCATCCATTCCTGTGCCGGAGGCAGTGATGGTCACTAGGTTGTCCTCTGTTGGCTATGTCCCTGGGCCCCCATCCCAGGAAACTTAGCTTTCATCTCCACGTCCAGCTCTGTAGTGTCTCGTTCCATCCTAGAAAGGACACAGAGCCCACAAACGCTGCCTGGGGCAGGAGGCTGCCTCTCTGCTATGCTCTGTCCTGCAGCTCCTGGGCACAGGCTGGCTCCTGTGCCTGGACACCTCTCTATATGTCACGAACAGACTGAGAGCCCTCCCATCTGTGTCTGAGCCCACACGGTTTCTGACAGCCCCCACCTCTGCTCCACCCCACAGAGGCCCATCCTGAGTACCTGCTGTCCAACCTGGGATAGGTACCCCTTTCCCCTTTGGGAGAAGCTATTGGGTAGAGGGGCTGAAGGATCTGGGCCTGTCCCTGGGGAGAGCCTAGGGAGGACAGGAAGGGCAGGGAAGGTGTGAGCAGCATCCCTTTCTGTCCGGTGCCTGGCATGCAGCCCATACTCCTTGAGCCTGCCCAGACTTGCCCTGCATAATGTAGTCCCATGGCAGGGGCCCAAATCCATGTCCCTGATGCCCCATGTCCCAGCCAACCTGACTCGTCCCCCCTGTCCATGCCAGGCCACAGCCTTCTGTGCTCCGGTTTCTAACAGTCCCAGCTGGTCTTCTCAGCAAGGCCACTGCTTGATAAGAAGGAGGGCCCTGTGGGCTCAGATGGAGGTGCTGGCTCCAGGAGCTTCAGGTGATGTCAGGTTTCCAGAGCCACCTGTCCCATGCGCAGTGCCTGGATGAGCCACCTGCCCCATGCCCGGTTTTCCTGGTCTCCCCAGTGCTGCTCAGAGAATGCCAGGGACAAGGGGCTAGATGTGGTGGTCTCCAGCCTCACAGAAACTCCTCCCATCTCTGCAGGTGGCTGAGGGGCCACCGGGCATCCTGGCTGCTGAGGGCTCATGCACCTCAGCTTCTGGGAAGCCACTTCCTTCTTAGGAGCCCCCAGGCCTCCAGCCCTGAGTCCACCAGGGACCTCCTAGCTTCAATCCACCCATAGTGGCTTAGGGCAGGGCCCGGAGGTCAGATGGGGCTATCAGAGGCACCTGCTCTCGGGGTGCTGAAGCAGACAGTGGGGAGAGCTCCAGGAGTTGGCCCTTCTGGACCTTTCTGCTGTGTCCATCATTGCTATTCCTCAAGAAAGACAGCCTTTCTGTCCTTCCCAGTCCCCACCCCCATATTGTATGCTAATGGTGATGAGACATCTCCAGGGCTACATGAACAGAAACCCACAGGGCCACTGTCCTCTCTCCTTCTGAAATAGTTCATCATTAAAGTGGGTGGGGAGGAGCGTGCTGCAGGGGCCTGTGGTGTGCCCCAGCTGTCCACACCCACCCCAGCCTACCCTAGCCCCTGGCTGCTCCACTGGCTCCTAGTAGACCCTGCCCTCATTCCTTCTAGGTGCAGGAAGCTGGGGGTACCTAAGTATCAGAGATCTGAAACTCTGGAGCAAAACTTTTCTCAGTGACACAGCAGAGACTAAGTCTTATTAAGAAGCTGCTGGGCTGAGCTGGGCTGGGCTGGGCTGGTGATTACTGAGTCCAACTTTCTAAGAGCACGTGATATGGAGGGGGGCACAGGGCACAGGGCACAGGGCACAGGGCAGGGCAGCTCTGTGCTTTTTCTTACTTCCTGCCGCATGCTAACTCTACAAAATAAGCAAGAAGAGACGCATGCTCTTCTGGATCATGTGAGGGATAAACAAGGCCAAATTAGGAAAGTCAAGAGCAGGCCCCCAGCAGGCAGAGCACTGCTGTGCTTCCATGCCCCGAGTCTCGCTGTGTCTTAGTTTCCCCACATACTATGGCACAGACCTCCCAGATTTGCACACAGGAGGGCCCTGGCCGGGCATCTGTGCAGGACCTGTGAGTGCCAGCTACGGAATTCAGTGCTCACAAAGAGCATTTCATGTCCAAGTTCAGCCACCCAGGTCTAGTCCTGGCTGGAGCCCTGTGTCAACACCCAAAGCCTCCCCATGATGATTGTCTTGTGGTCCCAGAGGCTCAGGCCTCTGACCATGATGTGTCCCATCAGCAAAGCACTGAGACTTCGATGCAGGGAGCTGATGGAATGAACGTGCCCATTGCATCCCAGGTCAACCCAAACAGGCCTGGGTGCTGTCCACAGTTCAAGGCCAAAGGAGGAAGTGGTTCTGTTTCTGGCTCTGCAGAAGCAACAGAGTGGGAACCAGAGGTGTGTGCTAAGGAGACAGCAAGCGGCCCGCAGGCCCAGGCCTCTCCTCTCTCCATCTTCTTTCCTGGCCAAAGATACAGATGCCTCTGGCATCAGCCCAGCTCTCCAGGATGTCCTGCCAGCTGTGGTTTTCAGATAACTTGGGTTTCAGATTCTAGGCCAGAACACTTCAGCACAAGATCTTTTTGCATCTGTCCCCTTGATTCAGAATCTTCAGCCAAGATAATTTCTCCTTCCCAGGCATCGTGGGAACACTGAGGAGGTGGCGGGTGGAGAGATGGACTCCCCAGTCACTATCCCAGGAGGTGCCCAGGCTGGGCAAATGTGCCCTTGGCCTGTGGGTGACTGGCCCAGAAAGCAGGCAAACCCTTTGGAGGGCTTCCAGAATCAAGCCCACCAACAGCAAAAAAAGCACAGTATCCTATGCCAGGAGAGACTTGCAAGTTGAAGGTGGAAATAACAGGGTACAGTTCACAAAATAAAACTCATGGAAAAACTGCTCTGATGACTCAGCCAGCCAGTGCAGAGTTTTCTGGCAATTCAAGGGCAGGCTCACCTACTTGGGCAGATTTGTTTAAAAATCTTTGTAGTTAATTTAATCCACACATAAAAGGCACCCATCTAATACATACTTCAGCGATCTTTGACCAATGTTTATATGCCCATATCACCTCCGAATCAATACACGGGGTGTTTTCAGCTCCCAAAAGAATGTTTTTATCACTCCCCTTCATAGTTTCCTGCTGCTGTCAAGCATCGATGCAGCGCCACCGCCCACGGCAACCGTCTCTGCTGCGTGCTGCTGTTGACCCGTCTCCCGGTCAGACGGTACCCACATCTGCCAGGATTCGTGGAGGCAAGAAACAGAAACTCAGGCTTAATTGAACTTGGTGTGGGAGAGGGTGGGTACGTGGGTACTGAAGGAAATGTACTCACTCACATAACCAGAAGGTTCCAGAAGTGATTCTGGCTTCAGGAACTGCTACCTCGGGAGCCTTAAAGGGTGTGACCTAGGCCTCCTCTGTGTTCGGTTTCCTGTTTCTGCTTTGGTCTGAGTTGCACCAACTGTTAATGAAGACACTGGGTGCCTGGTGACCAGTTCCTGGTTTGCATCCTACGAACGCTGAGCCACTCCTTCCTTCCTTCAACTGTCTCGATGATGATGCTCACTGCCCAGGCCTCCATCATCTCCTGGGGAGTGACAGGCAGGGCTGGGGACACTAACTGCACCACATCCAACAGAAGGAGTGTGGGGAAGTGGCCACCTGGCAGACCTGGTGGCCTTAGAGACTGTTTTCCTCTCCTCTCGGCCTTTCATCCACACCCACTTCTTTCCCATAGACACTTTTACAACACTCCTGCCCTAAATCCATAACTGTATTATTTAGAGGAAAAAATGACTCTCTCTTCCCCAGGGGAGAGACGGCAGGCCAGCTCCAGAGCTGCCTCCCAGCACCAAGCCCAGAACTGTGGCCGTCTGTGTCCTATGCCCGACCCGCACACGTTCTCGTGGGGCTGGCCTGCTAGTTTCCTGTGGCCGCTGTACCAAATGCCACTCACCAGGTAGCTCTGATCACAGATATGTATTTCCTTGCAGTCTTGGATTTTCAAGTCCAAGTTCAGGAGCCGGCCCAGCTGGCATTCTGAGGCCGTTCCTCCATCCGCACCCTGCCCTGGGTGTCCCCCCTGTAAACATCCATGTCTGTGGTCCCGGCTCCTCTTCTTCCGAGGACACCAATCAGATTAGATTAGGTCCCACTCTGATGCCTTCATCTTAACGTAGTCACTTCATTAAAGACTCTATGTCCAAATAGTTCCCTTCTGAGATACAGGGGGCTAAGGGTCCAGCATGACTCTGGAGGGACACAGTGCAGGCCTGTGAGGACTGCTCTCATCACATGAATCACAGTGGAAGGGAAGAGGGAATAACAATACACTCAAAGGCGAGGGAACCCAGCTTGAAAATAGGAACAAGAAACACAGCATACAATCATCAGGCCTTGTGCTACAAGTCTGCTATGTCAGCTACTCCAGAGGCTGAGGCAGGAAGATCTCGAGTTTTAGGCCAGCCTGGGCAACCTATCAAGATTTTGACTCAAAATAAAATAAAATAAAAAATGTGAAGGTCGGGGAGACAGCTCAGTAGATTAAGCGCTCACCTGGCAAGTGCAGGGGCCTGACTTCAATCCCTGGTTCCACAAGAAAAAAAGAAAGAAAGAAGAAAGAAAGAAAGAAAGAAAGAAAGAAAGAAAGAAAGAAAGAAAGAAAGAAAGAAAGAAAGAAAGATGAAAAAAATAAAATGTGTTTGGAATGTAGCTCAGTAATAGAGTTCTTGATTAGCATATGCAAGACTTTGGGTTCAAACACACACACACACACACACACACACACACACACACATACACACACACACACCATGAATTGGTTCATTTCATCACCCATCACTAAAAAGCACAGGTGTGGATGGGACCAGCTACCGGGGCACAGCTGGA